GGGGGGGGGAGAGGGGGAGAGGAATAGCCTTGAGTCTGGCGGGATGGAAGACTGCACGGGTGACCCTTTGCACCTTGCTCTGTTCCGCTGCTTCCCTCTGCTGGGCAAACTCTGATGCTTCAGCTTCCCATCACTGATTAGCCACAAGTCTCTAAGAGCTGCTCAGGTGGGGATGGGAAGTAGACGGACCTTCTGGATGGTCCTGAAGAGAAAGCAGCAAGTTGCTGTTCTATGAAGGCTCGATGTGAGGCTTGGATTCTGAGGCTCCGGGTTCCAGAGGAGGCATTAACATTTGGTATTCTCTCCCTTAGCCCTGGGCCTCAGAACACTTACCCTGGCAACAACTAATCCGTGGTACTAATTCCCTGTCTGTAAAGCTGGGCAGAGCGACCTGTTGACTTCACAAGGAAAAGTGTGTCTAAATGCATTTCTTATCTGTGCTCTCTTTTGCAGAAGAGTCTATATGTAGGATCCCAGAGTGGGGTCCTTCAGTTACCACGGTCCACCTGCGGGCGATATGTCTCCTGCTTCGACTGTGTCCTGGCCCGGGATCCATACTGTGGCTGGGATGGTGTGAGCTGCAGGGAACTAGAGGAGACTCTGGACAGGTATGGGAACATTTAGTGGGGTTTGACCAGAAAGCAGAGACGTGGAGAAGGGAGTATGCAAAGCACTGACATTTCCTCCCTTGGTGAAAGGGGGGCTCCACTGAGGCACCATTAATGCAGAGACCTTTCCTGTCCAAGCCAATGGACTTGTACAGCACCACACCTTCTGTCTCAATTCATCTTCTCAAGAGAGGGGATCCAGCATGACTCCCACACAGTCTGCTTGGACCATTGCATGTTGTCTCTCATAAAAGCTAGTTTAAGTTTATTAGATTTATATCCTGCATAATCTGGGGGGAGAGGAACTCCAGGTAGTCTGCAACAATAAGAACTGATTCCAAAAATATAACCATGGCAACAGCTGTAAAACCAAACAAGACAACAAGCAGAAAAATATATTATGGGTCCATTACAAAAACTGCAGCATGAGAGCACTGCATAGCTGTCTAAACTCCATAGAAAGCAGCATTCAAAACAATCTAAATGAAAATGGCCTTACCCTGCTTTCTAAACAGGTGCGTTCAGGCTTGGTCTTCCTGAGATCAGGACTACAACCAAAAAGCTATAGCTCCAAGTCTCAGTTAAAGAGGTTATCAGGAGTTTTACGTTTTGTATTTCTGCACTGGCTATGTACCCACCCTGCACGAGATTGTTAGGGTGTGCAGATGACTCAAGAGGTGTCAATGAGATCTGTAGTATGTCAGGAGCACATTGTGCACTCTGCTGCGTGTTTATGGAATGAGCATTGATGCATGCCTGAGGTGTCAAGAATCAGTCTCTCTAGATTTTGTCAGATGCGTCCTGTGTGCTGGGAAGATAGTGTGCCTTTGGGCTGCTCCCCTCCCCAACTGACCAGAGTCCTGCTTATCTTTGCCAGAACTTTGCTGACCCAGGACGTGCTGCATGGCAACATGGGCTGCTGGAATGACTCTGCCCAGGGTAAGGCTTGGATGCTGTCCCTTCCTTGACCACCTAGGAGGCAATGAAGCCTGGGGCTGTGCAGCACCCAACGGCAAAGAAAGGGTCCATCTCTTTGCAGCCTTTGCTCAGCACACAGAATGCTTCTCTTCTCCCCTCACATCCAGAGTCAAAGTTTCTGCTCCCTAAATCGTGCTATAGCTCCATCATACTGTTAGGCACACACACACACAGACACACACAATCCAGATTATGTGCCCACAATTAATTATGCAAATGAAGGAGGTTTGCATACATCTCATTGCATCACAAGCTTTTCCTGCTTTCAAAATATTTTCCTGTGATGATGAGCAGTTTCTGCCAGGGTTTGAAGGGCAGGAGGGGGTGGAGTGTGTGGGGATTTGGGCTGGGTGGCTATTAGTGTGGCAATAGCTGTGGTAGAGGGAATAGAATAAGTAGCAGTTTTGGGAACTACCCAAAGCCAAACTACCAAAGGCTGTGCCCATTCCAGGTATGGATGCTGAGCTTTCTCTCAACACTGCCCTCACATTTCCTGTCTTTCCTCCAAAACAATGAGGGATAGGTATGGGCTGTTTTTTTTTTAAAAAAAAAAGTGAATGGAAATGGAGAGTCTCATGGTGCCAGTTTTTTTTTTAATTTCCTTCTCCCCCAGCTCTTGGCTCTCCTGCCCCTCTTCAGTTTAAGACTTAGCATTATCTTTTCCATACTATTAAATGACACTCTGAACCCGACACTTGAATCACTCCAGCTCAGGTAAGACAGCCTCTGAAACCTAATTTTTCCCCATGTGTCCTGCAGCCACATCCACGCAGAAGAATCGGACTGTGTTATGTGGTGACGATGTGCTCTTGCCCTGTGAGCAGGCCTCTAATCTGGCCCAGGCAACGTGGCTGCTGAATGGCACAGAAGTGCTGGCAGAGGAGGGGCAAGGACGCTTCCACCTCGGCGTGGATGGGCTGCTGGTGACAGATACGCAGCTGGAGTACAGTGGGGAATACCGATGCTATGCCAAGGAGAACGGTCTTCAGGCCCTGGTGGCCACCTATGCCCTGACTGTGCTGCCCGAGCAGCTGGTGCCCCAGTTCCCCCCCACGGTGCCTCAGCCCTCCTGGCACGCTGCCAGCCATGCTTATGGGGACATGAAGTTTATCTACATTGGCGTCATCACAGTGCTAGGAGGGCTGTGCCTGGTGCTCAGCGTGGTTCTCCTCTATGTCTCCTGCTTGCAGAAGCGCAGGGGCAAATACAGCCTCGGGGTCCCCCAGACGTCCAGTGTGGAGCTGCAGACGGTCTCCTCCAACTGCATAGGCAAAGGAGGACAGGAGGATGAGGACTTGGGTACCTACCCAGATGGCTGCCTGCAGATCATCCCTGGGGAAGCCACCTCTGTGGCATCACCGTCCAAGGAGGTGCCCCCTATCCCACCACCACCCCCTCCTCCACTACCGGCCGAGTTCACCAACGGCATTACCACCTTGCCCAACATGCTGCGCAAGATGAACGGCAACAGCTACATGCTCTTGCGGCAGAACGAGGAACCGTGCACTTCGCCACTCTACAACTCCTTTACTGAGGAGCTGAGCAAAATCCTGGAGAAGCGGAAACACACACAGCTGGTAGAAAAGCTGGACGAGAGCTCCGTGTAGGGGGGACAGGGAGCCCATTTCGCCGGACTCATCCCTCCAGCCCTTCTGTGATTCCTCCTCCCCAATCCAACAGAACCAGTGTTACGACTCAGCAACTACCTCCGGAGCGGCCCTCCGGAGCCGCCACAGACTCCGCACTCATTTCCTATTTTTGTTGTTGTTGGTTTTTTCTTTGTCGCCGTTGATTGTTTCGTTTTCCAATTGCTGTAAAAAAGAAATCTATTTAAATGGGAATTATATTTATATATAAAAGTGATGATAATCGATAAAACAGGATCCACACATGTCTGTTGGGTTTATCCTAAAACAGGCCATTGGCTTGTAGGAAGGAATTGTGCTGCCATTGTTAAAGGGTGGGGGTGGGTTGCTCAGAGAGTGGCATTGTGTCTGAAACCTCTGCCAGTGTAAAGGCAGCCACATCACCATGAAGGGGCAGCACACTTCAGCTGCCATTTCATCAGGTAGGTACAGCTCTCTTGATGAAATCAAAGTTGCAGAAAAACTTGCATATTAATCTGATCACATTCCTAAGTATTTGTATATAATTTTGATTTTGCATAATTTATTCCAAACACTAAATGTAAAGGGTTTTTTTTCCTAAACAGGTGAACGTAGGTGTGGGTGAATCCTTCCTCAGAGAATGAACTTCCTTTGGGTGATCTCTGGAGATTCATTCAAAAGCTTGCTCTTTTATGGGCACAGCTTTTGCAGGCCCTGGCATGCAAGCTTTATCTAATACCAAATGTCTGAGCTGTTCCGGTTGGCAGAAGAGGATAGGACTCACAATAATGGGTTTAAATTAAGAACAGGAAGATACTGGCTGGATATTAGGAAAACCTTTTTTTACAGTGAGAGTTGTGCAACGGTTGAATCAGTTGCCTAGCTCCCCCTCACTGGCAGTCTTTAAGCAGTGTCTGCACAAACACTTGTCAGGGGTGCTCTAGGCTGATCCTGCATTGAGCAGGGGGTTGGACTAGATGGCCTGTATGGCCCCTTCCAACTCTGTGATTCTGTGAATTTATGATGTCACAAAGGAGAGGGCAATAGGAAACCAGTAGCATTTGCATTCAACTCTCCATCAACAACTTAAAAAACAAAAGTACAGACGTCTTGGCTACGGGCCATGTACTGTTGAATGCCGTGTGCTGTTGGTACCTACCAGTAGTGCAGTAGTGGAATATCGCTAGTGACAAACAAACAAGCCTTGCTTTTTACGGATGTGAGCCCCACATGAAGTGCTTCCTTTATAACCTGTTGGTCCAAGAGGCAAGGCAGGGGGGAGCATTGCCAACTTTAGGTTGGGAAATTCCTGGAGAGACTAGGGAGGCAGGGTTTGGGGAGGGGAGGGACCTCTGTGGGCTGTAATACCAGAGAGCGCACCCATCAAAGCAACCATTTTCTCCAGGGAAACTGGTCTGTCATCTGGAGATGAGGTGTAATTCCAGGAGATCCACAGGCCCCGCTTGGAGAAGAGTGAGCTCAGCAGGGATATGATGCCAAATCCTCCCATCCAAATCTGCATGATCTCTGTAGACTGATCAGTTGTAATTCTGGGACAATTCCAGGTCTCAGTTGGAGACTAGTAATCCTACTATAGTTATGTAAACTATTTAAGTTGTGTACTGCTGGTATAACCCAATTTCAGACAATTCTACTTCATCTGATCTCTTGGGGGTGAATTGGCTGTCTGGTAACAGGTCACCTTCACATTGATGACTAAAAACTGCTTTTAGTCAGCATCACAGAAATTTGGGGCAAGGTTTGGCTACTCTGAGATGTAGCCATGCAGTTGGGCTACGGCAGATTTGGCGTGTTATTGTGAGTACTTGTTGCACTGGAGGAAGGACGCAGACTCACAAGTCCCAGTGTTCAGAAGGCAGAATCATGGAAGCGCAAAAGTCACCACCATCTCCAGGGGAAAACAGAAACTGGTGCTGTCAAGGTGATCCCCTAGGAAGGAGCCAGCAGCTTGTTGTTGTGTGCAGGCATGATCAAGCACTAGCATCCATTTCTCACAATAACTTGGGGGCGAGAGAAGTACCATTTCCTTTTAGAAAAGTAAGGCCATGACTCAGGGGCTGGCCAGATCTAATCTACTGGTCAGTGGCATAAAGCTAGAAAATCATCTCAGGCATGAACTGACCAAGTGATATTAACAGGCCGCCCTTCCAGCTCAGCCACTGCACAAATCTCTAGGAATTACTTTGTGTCTCTAGGAAATGTGCTATATAAACAGTGTAGCTCTCCCCCACTCCATTTTACTCAGTACCTTCATACAGCCTTCAGGGAATCTGACTTGTATTTTATATTGTATTGACACTTTACTGTTAATGTCTTATGAATGAGAGAGAGAAAGAGTACCACCTGGTGGAGCTGCATCTTATGCCACCACTACCACCTACACCCTGGCCTCTGTGTTTAGGGTTAGCTTTGCTTCCAGTTACCAATCTAGTGGGAAAATCCAGAATGGACTCCACTCAAGGCAGCTGCATGGGGTGACAGGTTGCCAGATGCTGTATATGTCCAGACTGCTAGTCCTCTTGCCATTGCATCCTAACTGCTCAAGGTGGCTTGGAAGCAGCATGACATTCTAGATACAATGAACTTTTCTAGGACAGACTTCATTGGGATATTCAGGGTTTCAGGTGGAAGTGTAAAAAACAGCACTGGGTGCAAAGTGTACCATCCTGAAAATCTCAGCTCTTTTTTTTTTAAAGTTTTGAGGCCTTATGGTTGCACGTACAGTTTTAAATGTGTGTGGAATAAATTAATAGCTTTTATTTTTAGCTAGGAAGCTACAGTTAGGAGCACATTGTCCAATATACCTTCATTGCTAGAAAGAATATGAAATCAGGATACTTTAATGTGTAATTATCAAAACATGCAATACAAATTTTTCCTAATAGCAATAGCCAGCACTCACAGCAAAGCAAGCAAACCGCATAAGGGATGGGATGAAATACAGGCCTGTGGGAATCCCCTTGTATACACTTAAACTGAAATTGCAGAGCTGCAGCAGGGGCCAGGAGTACATCTGAGTGTGGGACAGGCGGTATGTGACAGAGAGGTTTCTCTCCAAACATCTGACTAATGCTTATACCCAGGAGACACAAGCTGTATCTACGAGACCAATACAACAGTGGAAAATTTAGAAATGCCTTACATTGCTAGAATTTTTTGTTAACCTGTAGTTCAGATATGTTCTGATGCTGGGAAAGACTGAAGGTCAAAGAAGACGGGGACGGCAAAGGATGAGATGTTTAGACAGTGTAATAGATGCAACGAACATGAAATTGCGTGAACTTCAGAGGACAGCAGAAGACAGGAGGGCCTGGCATAACCTGGTCCATGGGGTTGCGAAGAGTCGGACTCGACTGTGCGCCTGAACAACAACAAGTTCAGATATCACCACCTGCCAAGTCTGAACAGATGGAGTACGACTCCCACAAGCACAACAAAAATCAAAGAGAACTGGCTTGTACAATAAAAACATTTCTATTCTGCCCAGCTAGTTAATGAGTTTTGGGATGTACTGGGGAGCTATAGCTTCTCTTTGGCATTAGACTCTAGGGGAAGGCCCACAACTCAGTACCAAAGTATATGCTTTGCTTGCAGGAAGTTCCAGGATCAATCCTCAGTTAAAAATATCTCAAGTACAAGGACTGGTACAGACCTCTGCCCGATGCACAAGATCACCATACCAAGTAGGGAGCCAGCATGTTGTAGTGGTTAAGAGCGATGAACTCTAATTTGGAGAGCCAGGTTCGATTCCACTCTCCTCTACTTGAAGCCAAGCTGGGTGACCTTGGGTCAGTCACAGCTCTCCCAGCCCCCCAAAATAAGTCTAGGTTGCTGCACAACGCTAAAAAAGAGCTAGAGCTTCAGGCTGCCGGACAGTCCTAGGATCTCCTGGATATACCACACACAATGCCATACGCTAATTGAATTTAACCATACCAAGTAGGAATAAACAGTATTGGTCCAGATGACACAGTGGCCTGACTCGGTATAAGGCAGCTTCATGTATTCATTTTCTCAACTGTTTAGCACTGTTCAGTACCAAAGAAAATCCCATTTCATACTACTGTTTCTATCAACAATCTGCCACTTGCTGATACATCTGTGAAACAACCTCTCTCATAGATGCCAGATGGAAATTTACTAGTGCCAATTTGCTGGATAAATTTTTTTCTTTCATGCCAGTATTGCCAATTGATTGGTTTAGAATGCCTGGTGCTTCCCATTAAGATATGTCAGAGGCTCAGAGAGAGAAATGTCTCTACCTTGTATCAGATTGTAGAGGAGAGATGTAGTGGTGTGTATATGAGAGGAGAGATGAAGTGGCGTGTATATGAAGGCTGCTGGAAGCAGCCTTTGAAAGCTAATAATGAAGTGTGTTACCTAGAGAATGTTCATTTATGTGAATGGAGTTTGGGGGAGGTGTGCATTTGTCCAGTCCCAAATGGTCCCGGCCAAAGGGCACATCAAAGCATGTTTGATGTGCAGAAAACACACTAAGGTTGCTTATATTATAGGAACCCAGACACCAGGCCTGGAAAAGACTTATCCATGAAGAGCTTGATTTGGGAACTCCTTGCAGCGTGACAGGATCTTGCCCATTCAACTTGCCACTACCAGAGGGGAAGCTGCAGAATTCCTTGCTTCTTTCGGTGCTAATGAGGGTCGGGATCATTCCTAGATGGGTGCCTGTCTGAGAGATGGCCGTGCTCCAGTGGCAGATGGATCCCTCCTGTACTGTATGTCCTTTCTGTTATTCTAAGGTAACTGAAAAAGCTTCTCAGCACAGGGCCATCTCTTGGTTCTCCCATCAGGCTTTTTAGTTGAATAGATGCCACCTACAAAGGTGGTAGAACAGCTCTAGAGA